AATTTCACTGAATTAATTGAAAATTTACATTTAATTCATAATGAAGAATTATTAATGTTATTGTAGTCTATATAAAATTTCATGAGATATAATTGAAGCTTCGAACGGTCCGGTTTCAGTTTACTCTTTGAACAGAACCTTTAGGCTAGAAACTACTTGGCAGTCCCTGGTATTTTAATAAACTTATTATGACAACCAATGTATCGGTTGAACGATTTTTTTCTGGAGGCATAGACTTTATCATTCGAAGGCGTTGTAGTTTAGAACCTGAAGCAATAAAGTTTGCGTGTGGTTAAAAAGTTGGCGGAGACGATCAATTTTATATATGAATTGAAAAAAAAACAAAACATCATTAGGGTTTTTGATCTGAATAAGTTTATTCGAATTATTTGTTTTATTCGTTATGAATTTCGTATTCTAACTACATTGAAAGTTTAGTCGAGTAATTCGAATAAAATGAATAAAACGAGTAAAACTAATAATTCGAATAAAATAAATAATTCGAATAAAGCGAATAATTCGAATTAAATATTAAGATTGAGTTACATTACGAATAATTCAAATTAGGATCTATATTACGAATAGAATGTTTGAAATTTTTGGGCCAAATGTAAACCGAAAAACCGAATCGAATCGTTCGGACATACACGACTGCATTAATAATTAACCTCAATATTATTGTTATTTTGTTTGAAAACCAAATGATTTTCATGAAAAAGATTTGATCTTGGAAGAATTGAAAGTATATAAATCACTGAAGAATTAGATATGGATATTTAAAACAATTGTGTTTTCACGTTTTCAAAACGATGTATATGTTTAATTCAGAATTATATAACAAAACTTGGATTATATAATTCGAAACACGAATGTGCATTTTTATTATGCTATAATATGTATTAAATTAGGTAATTCTAATCATCGATTGATTTGACCTTTAAGGCTTGTAAATTGTTAAATATATAATAAAATTTTGGGTTTTATAATATTAACTTCTATTTATCTGTCAAATTGTTCTGAATAACGAGTTATTTGGAAGTTCTGTTGCTACCAAAATCACGTTCGAGTCTTTTGTGATTCCGATAATAAATCACCCGTAAATAAGTTTCCTGAGCTTCAAGGTGATTTCTTGGGAGTCGATCAATAATCCAAAATGATTATTAACGTATGAAGAGGATAATAATAGTAATAGGCAAATTTCATATATAGACCAATTCGAAGATGAAATAATTTTTTTTTTTAAATCAAAACATTTTAATTTGATTATATTATATAATTTTCTCTGAGTTAAAATAAAAACAAACTTCTCTAAAGTTTCCATGAAATATACTCCCTTTTTCACCCTTGTCATTGGCATTATCTGTGGCCTAATGGTTAGCGTAGCTACTGTGTAATTAAATGAAACAAAAGTTTTCAAGAGAAAAATATGCAAACTATTGTATATTTTACAGTTTTTCGAATATAGCAGAAAGCTTGATAAGTTGTTAATCCCTCTTTCTAATAAATTATGTGTAATAATGTGTATACAGATTCCAGAACTGATCAATATTTTGTTTTACTGTTGTTACTTTATATTTACATTTTTGCAATGTATTCACAAACTTGTTGTTGAATTAACTTGGAATCTGTAATCTCTTTGAGTGGCATGGTATAATTGTAGTTCTTGTCGAAATTAGAGCCTTTTGACGATAAAAAGTAAGTTTATCTTGAATTTCAAATGATGTTTGTGTAGAGGGGAATTGATCTTGGAAAAATGGAATCAACCACTCTGATTCGAGGTAAAATAGATGTTAGGCCTCTGGAACTTTTTGGGAAAAGCGAAGAGCACTTGCACTAGTAAAATTAGGTCGAGACATTTCGATCAAGAAATAAATTGGGGAAAGAATGAAAGAGCAGTAAATTTTTATTTTATAAAAAATAAACGATAAAATATACATTTCATAGCAAAATAATTTTTTGGATCACTCTCTCCATGGGATAAATAAGTTATTATACAGAGAACGTGTATTTTCACGGCTACACCGTAAAAAATCATTGATATAAATGGTTCCCGTGG